CAACAACAAATCACCGTACTTTCAGCAAAGCGCCCGCTTCTGGAACCGATGCCATCTCGATCCAACGGCCCAGATTCGTTCCGTACAACTCCCCCCCTGTGTACCCAAACCCCCACCGGATATGGTGCTAGCACTGCCAACTCATGCTAGAGAAAGATCATCAATTGGCCAAGAAAATAAATAAATAGTTTTGTATAATACTAAAATGATTGCAAATTATACTAAAATGATTGCAAATTGGTCATGATAAGTAATAAGTGGATTTTAGGCAGCCCAAGTACACCCCAGAACTCATGATAGTCACCATCGACTAATCGAAGCACTCTCGTCGTCCCGGCCTCATCTTCAATTTTATAATGAAGCCCTCAGGGCCTATTGCTTTGTGAAAGAAAAAAAAAAGGAAAGAGCGGTAACTTCTTCTTTTGTTTTTTTTTCATATCAGGCAAGGCATTTGAGGTCTCGCTCCACTACTCTCGAAAATAAAATTTAAAGAATGTGCAAAACGAGAGTGAATCTTCCGCTAGAACATGGAAAGATTCGCGGCCATGATTTTTGTCTTCTGTGCATTTCGAGAGTAGTGGAGCGAGGGCGGGGGATCAACCCACTTCCACCTCTCTCTCTCTCTCTCTCTCTCTCTCTCTCTCTCTTTCTTCTTTTCCCAGGCTTGCGTCGAAGCCGTGCGTCGAGTTTGCCAGTCGTGTGCCGAATTTGTCATCAGCTACAGGTCCTCGCTCCACTACTCTCCACATGCAGAAAAGACAAAAAAAAAATGGCAATGCATCTTTCCATGTTCTAGGGAAGGATTCACTCTCGTTCTGCACATTTCGGACAGTAGCGCAGCGAGGCCCATATATGGGCGAGGTCCCACCAGCAAAGAGGAATGGATTTTACGCCTGAATCCGGACGTCTTTATGGAGAGGTGCAATGCAAAAAATTGTGATCGAGCTGCTTTCTTTTCTGCAAAAAATTGTGATTGAGCTGCTTTTTTTCTGCAAAAAATTGTGATTGAGCTGCTTTCTTTTCTGCAAAAAATTGTGATTGGGCGAGGTCCATGTTCTGCATAAACGACATCCAGATCAAGGCGCATGTACCTTCCTCGGCAAGATTGGCGACGACCACCTAGAGATATGCCGTTGGTCCCCCCGAGTGGCATTGAGGAGAGACTGCTGATGCTGATGTTCATAGGGGAAGGGGATCGGAGGGGAGGAGGCACAGTGACTGGACCATCGAAGAAGCTCTGTCCTGATGCTACCGGCTGACCCCTGGTCGGTATTGCCCACCTGCTGTAGCAGGTATGGCACCTGCTGGTGGGTGCAGGTCCCGTATGTTCCCTCGTTGGAGGCTTGAGCATGGATGTGGCTGCTAAGGGGTTCCTGGCACATCTACCTCTACTTGGTGTGGTACCCATTTTCTTACGTTCTCCCCTTGGTGTGGTACCCATTTTCTGACTTTGCCCATGGATGCAGCTGACCACCCGGCACATCTACCTCTACTTGGTGTGGTACCGGCCTACCCGCTACCTGAGTGTTTTCTGCTGCTCTTAGTATCACAGGCCACTTTCCCAGCCACTTGAGTATTTTCCCCGCTGCAAGCCTCAATGTCACGGCCACAGGTAAGTACCAGCCCTTCGGGCATTCTGAACAAACACATTGTCAACCAGTAGAAGAGATTTGTCGGCACGCCGATGTCTGTCACCCACGGGAGGATCGATCAGGGCTCCTGTAATCTGCAAGAAAACAGTTAGTTCACATCATCACAAATAGAGACCCCAAGTCAGGGAAATCGGTCTGAGTCCCGACCTATCTCACTAACAGTCCAGGTCGGATCCTCCGTCCGATAGGGTGCCGCCGATATGAGCCCGTTGGTCCCACGGAACGGTGCTTGAACTCTCCATGTCAGAGGTAGAATCGAGGGCCCATCGCGGCCACTGTTCACGATCTAGTTTCACCATGTGTCGTCCTTGTCTCCTGATCTCCTCAAGAATTGAAACCCCAGCAAACAGGCTTTGTTCCCGGCCAACTGAATCACCCTGCCCGCATCTCGGACAAATTATCTCTTCAAGTGAGGCCCGCC